TTAGAACATCGAACATATATAGAAGCTCACAAGAGATGGTAGTAGTGATAATAGGAAATAGAGAATGCTCGAACAGAAAATGAAGTAGAAAAGTGATGCAGAGAGAGCTTTGAGGAAGAAGCATATATGAACTGAGAACGTCGGTTACGTCGCGTCGATACGCATCTAATCTTGTGAACGTCGTCGCGTTTGGAGTTCTCATCCGGTCCTATGTCCACGTTGGTCCTACGTCCACGTTGGCAAGTGGTCAGACCCCGTCGCGATGGATAATGGCTGATACGCCCATCAGACTGATTCTTGTTGTGTCCAACTTCTCTCTTCGTAAAACCTCGGCATTGTTGTTACACTTGAAAAATTCTTCTGTGCACACGAGGTTGGTAGGTGGAACTTTATTATGGCCTGACGTTTCGACTAGATCTTCATCAGAGGCCTAAACGTGGCTCATGGTTTGAAATTGCTCTCTCTACACCGCCAAAGATCTCCCCTTCCTTAACGTTTCTGACAGACTGTTGAGAAAACCACCCGAAAATCCCGAATGAGAGAAAGACTCACCCAGTCCACCACAGCGAGAGCGGAAGTAGCCGCTCAGTTAGTTGTTAGTACAATTAGTGGGACTTACTGTGCCAATCTTGTATAGTGATTATAGTCAGAAATGGCACGTCCCACCGCTCACATCATAGCTCGCAGTGCGACACAAATGGCAAGAGGTCATTTGTTATGGATAAGCACTCATTGCGGTTGTTCATTCTAGGATTTCTTGCAGAAATCCAGAATGCCTCTAGCGCTTTTCTGGCAGAAATCTCAGTCTCGCATGCCAGATCGTGCACTTCACATCAAAGTCGTTTCCGCTGTGCTCTTCGATTGAATGCTTGCCGAGTTGTTCTTGTATTACCACGCCTTTTGCCAGCAAGATGTTCTTTGATGCGTATTGCTAACGGTCTTCCAGTCTCCCCTATGTAGGTTGCGTTACATGTCAAATATTCAGTTTGATAGATCACACCACTTTTGGCGCAATCTCCACTTGAACCTTGTGGACAAGTAACGCACTGCTCTGATATGCACTGCCTGTCGTAGAGTCTGTTTCGCACCAGTTGGCGTTTGATGTTATTATTAGGAATACTAACTAATACAACATCGTTGTCCAACTGTGCGCGGAAAAGACATCTCTGAATTGCAGCAGTCACTTTATCAGATATGAAGCGGTATACATAGCGGGAGCTTGTTTTGGCGCGGCACGTGTCGGTGCTCAGTGTGAGTTCTTCTGCCATTAGCTGGTACAGGATAGCCGTTCAAAGCGGCTATATCATAAAAACACTCAGCAAGCATTGGATCGAAGAGCACAGCGGAAACGACTTTGATGTGAAGTGCACGATCTGGCATGCGAGACTGAGATTTCTGCCAGAAAAGCGCTAGAGGCATTCTGGATTTCTGCAAGAAATCCTAGAATGAACAACCGCAATGAGTGCTTATCCATAACAAATGACCTCTTGCCATTTGTGTCGCACTGCGAGCTACTGATGTGAGCGGTGGGACGTGCCATTTCTGACTATAATCACTATACAAGATTGGCACAGTAAGTCCCACTAATTGTACACAACTAACTGAGCGGCTACTTCCGCTCTCGCTGTGGTGGACTGGGTGAGTCTTTCCTCTCATTCGGGATTTTCGGGTGGTTTTCTCAACAGTCTGTCAGAAACGTTAGGGAAGGGGAGATCTTTGGCGGTGTAGAGAGAGCAATTTCAAACCATGAGCCACGTTTAGGCCTCTGATGAAGATCTAGTCGAAACGTCAAGCCATAATAAAAGTCCCACCTATTAGGTCATCCCATTCAAAAGTGCCGAGACATATAGAGGAATGGCAGAAAAGCAAAGGGGATAGAGCAGCGGGCTACTATACCATTTGGAGGCTAGTACCTTTAGCTATGTATCTGTGAAATTTGGCGAACCTACCCACAGAAGAAGTTCTCGAGAAATTGAAAAGAAGCCTGAGTGGTGAAAATCAGCGCCGGATTTTCAAATCAGGCGTCATAAGAGGAAAGTGCGCTGCTCAAATTTGACCTGCGCCGGACCAGTAGTTGTGTGTAATGGTGTTCTCAAAATGCAAGGTGGAAGATTTGGTTCAGGAGCCCGAAGAAGGAAGAAAGGAAAAAAAATTTGTTGTCGTGGATGGTCTCATAATGTTCATTCTGTACAAGAAAAAAGGCTAGATGAAGTCAAGCGCTGAATGTCTCGTTCGAGCTTCCCGCTGCACAAATCTGACCTGCGCCGTACCAGCAGTTGCGTGTATTGGTGTTCTCGGACTGTAAGTTAGAATACTTGGTTCAGGAGCCAGAGGGAAGAAAGGAAAAAATTTGTTCAAGTGGGTGCCCCATAATGTTCATCCTGCACAAGAAAAAAGGGTGGATGAAGTCAAGCGCTGAATGTCTGATCACAGAGCCTGACCTTTGTCGAGCTTCCCGCGAGACTGACATCCCTGCTGCAACTGCTGCCCGAGTTATGTCCGATAAACTGAGGATGGTCAAGAGGGTGTGCGCATGGGTACCTAATTTTTCTTGTAGAAGCACGAACGCAGTACCGATTCTATGCCTCTAGCAGTAATGTTCTCAGCATGAGATGTCATTCACGACTGTGAAAACGCACCCCGGCCCTAGATGAAATATGGGTGGTCTCGGACCTCGAGCCGAAACTCACAATCGTCAATTTTGTATGAATGCAGATGAGAAGCCGCCCGAGTTCTACCATGAAGAGTTACGTGGGCGCAAGTGGATGATCATCATAGCAAAGGATTCCCACACTGTGGCTTTCAGCGGCTCTATACAGAGAATAAAATCGTCGCTGTCGGTGTATGCCTGTTCCTCGGCAATCAGATCGACAAATGGATGATACCACACAACTACAAGAAGGCCACCGTTGCTCGTCATAGTGGCAGACCCCGAGTAACTGTATTGTAGGGCAGTGCTACATATTGTATGTTGGGCGAACAGGGGGCAATTGAACCCAGGTCTCAGTATTGTAGGCAACAATACTGAGACCTGGGTTCAATCGCCCCTGTTCGCCCAACATACAGCCGTTCGATTCCAACTGTTCTGGTCAGCGGGAGTACTCTCCGACAGCAAACGCTACAATATTTTGTCATTCACCGAAACTGGGTCGCATAAGATTTCCACTCTACGGTGGTTACGTCTATTAGCTCGGTTACGCCGGTCATGACGATTACCTCGGATAGATGGGTACCCCTCCCTTTGAGGGTTGTTGCCGATTATATCGGTTACGCCGATTACGTTCTTTACGTATATCACGATGGATACATCGGATCGATAAGTATCTCATCTACGCAGCATAGTCGGCGATTCGTCAGCTGCGTCGACGTCGGCAACGACGTTGCAAGGTATGAGCGCAGCCTTGCGACTTTGTCCAAAGGAACTGACGTGATCGACATAAAGACTAGTGGGCGCCAAAAAACTAAATACGTTTGCCTTTCACGCATATTAGGTTGGCGGGAAAGTTCTGTCACATTTTTTCAAACTAGGCTTTCTTTTTATAGAGAGGAGTGTAAGATCAAAATTGTACAGCAATGTAACTGCGGGTCCTTGCCACTGTTTGAGCACCTCATGGATGCCATCGCTTCACTATGCAGGGAGACACGACGCAAAGTTGGACACCATCTCAACCTCGACTTGAACTTGGGTTATGGAGGTTTTCTCGTCCGCATAACGATCGATTACGGAAGGCAACTTGCTATTAGAAGGGGCGATGTCTGTGCTACACAAGTGCAAGGGGAGAGAGGTCAAGCTCCATTGCATGAGGTACGGCTCGAACTTTTTTGGACCAAGTGCGTTGCACTATCTTGGTGAGGGCCGGCTGTGCGGACAAATTTTTCCCTCTGATCCACGATACGCCTTAGATCTCGTAGCTGCTTTGCGTACGCCTTGACCAAGGAAGCAGCTTCTTCATCCAGCAGTTTCCCGACCCATAGCTCCCTCAAGCTGAGTTGCAGGTAACCCAAACCTCACTTCGTCATCAAAACTGTAGGCTCCCTAGGCTCCCGCCTTGAAGCGTCACTGTCGTGGTAAGGATGCTCGATGATTGGGCATCGTGCTTATTCACGCTGGCGTCAGGGTGGTGGGTGAAATAGTTTGTGGAAGTTGTTGGATGGGTCGGGGCTGATGGTAGCGGATAAAATCCTTGTGCATATTGCAGAAGAAGGAGCAAGAGGCAAGCGAGTGGTACTAACAGAGAGACCACTCCTTGTTGTATAAGAGCTTACATTACCGGTTACCACTCTTGGTAATGGGCAAGTAATTTGAGTTCGGAAAAAAAGTGACAGAACTTTCCCGCCAACCTAGTACCTTCGGTAATGTCGGTTTCGTCAGTTATATCGTCGTCGTGAGATATGATGCGGCCTTAGTGACTGTCAATGAAGAGTGGTAAGAGCCAATAGCAAATAACTGCATGGGATTTGCTTTATCAAGGCTGCGATAGTTCCATCCACCTGTTCACCTTACAAAAAACGCTTTCAGCTGAGTCCGAATTTCATAAAAAGATACAGATGATGTTTTTAAACTGTGATAAGCACTGAACACTGACAACTTTACTGATAATATGGGAGCAACAAGGTAGTACAATTAGGTCAGGGAAAAAAGCCAAGTCCAGCTGGGATAGAGATATAGGAGTAAAGGTGTCCTCTTAGTGATCAGTTTCAGAAGATTCAAGTGGGAGAAATGGTCAGAAGCGGAAGGTTTGAAGACGTGTTCCGAGGAACGCCGTCTCTTTAATCTTTGACGTTTCATCGTTGCATGTCATGCGACAAGTTCTAGCAGGGTGTGGGGACTTTGCGCGGTCCATTCGCTTGCAAGCCTAAGCAGCTTGCTCGGTAGCAGGTCAAACATCACGTCGCGGAAAACTTGGGGCTAAGACGACCTCTCACCTGGAAAAAAGATGCAGCATGAGAATTGTGATTCACTTTACAGGTCAATCACCATGATTTCCGTGATGTTCACAATGCTGTCTCTTCCACTGCTTCTGCACTCAACGAACAATGATGCTGTCACTGCAACAACAACTTCAAATATGTCCTTTATTGGGGAGGACAGGTGGGCAAAAGACGACCAGTATCTGTGTGACCACCCAGAACAACTGAATGAATGTAAGTGAAGACACTTCTCGAAGGGATGTATTACTGAGCTAAAAGGTGATTTGTTGGAACAGAAGGTCCGCCAAATTCTCGGGTGGAGCATGACGCAGCGGTCATTTTATTGAAGAAACAAAGAGCTACATGTGATTCGGTTGTTTGACCATAGTAGTTCTTAACACTATACGGTGTGACCAAGCAAGCAAAAGGTCACACTGAGGGCTAGGAACATGGAAGATAATTGTGACCCCGAGTTCCGAATAGTGGCTGATATCTGATTCCTCAAAAACGGTGAGACAGAGAGCATGTTCATATAGATCTGGTAGCACCAGCAACAGCACACGCCGTACTTCTTCTTGGCTCAAACAAGGTATCCATCGTGATAGGCAAATAGGAGTTCCCTTCATTTTCGGGGGCATTTTTCGAATGCTCCAAGGATCTCTATTTCCTTCTGCAGAGTATAGGCCCCAGAGAATACACAGCGGTTCAGCCGATTCAGGTAAGGGAGCAAAGATTACATCAGTACGTTTGACGAAGCTCAGAAGGTCCCCCTTGAACCAAATATCGCCTTTATCCTTGCCGTGATTTCTGAGCAGGAGCTCCTCGTTGTTGGAATGTCAGTGGACCACAAGCCAGGCAAGCGTTCTGTAAAAAATGATCTCACAAAGCCAGGGCTTGAATGACTTGAACACTGTTATGTAGTTTCACACATTGTAGAAATAGTGCATTACGCAAAACAGCAGTACCTTTGTGAACTTCCAGGAATTTTTAGATTCTTGAAAGTCACATAGCGCAAACTCGGTACAATTTCGTAGACCATATAGCTTTAGAGGTGTGCTCGGCTGGTGTTCGAAGCCAATGTAATCCGTTCTCAACGCTTGTTAAAAAACACTTATATAAGGAGAGCAAAAGAAGAAGAGTGAGAGCTAAGCATTGCATCCGACGCAGTATTGTGTTCGGCACAATGGCGGACGTGTGCCATGGTCAAAAAAACAAAATCTTCAGAAATCGTGTCTGCCGTTTAGGCGGTTATTTTTTGGCTCAAAAACCTCTTGGTAAAGGAAAGTTCGATTATGGGCCATGCTCTCAAGCGGCTACGCTTTACCATTTCTGGTATTTGGTCGAAGGAATCCACGTGCACTAGCTCAACGAATGGCTGCTGTGTCAGCAAAATGATGAGAGAGGCTTGTTTCAAAGAAAATTTATACTGAACGATGCCTGGCTTTGATATCTGCTTGAGGACGTGCTTGATCAACCAAACTACTTTGGCAGGTGTGCGTTCGAAGATGAAGATGAACAACTGAAGAAACTAGCACTAAACTGATAGGCTACACATTAGTTAGACAGCTTCTCATGTAGCATCAGTCCACTGAGATGTCTCCATCATAAGCTTATGAAACGATCTGCGACTGCGAAGGGTCAATTTTTACCGAAACAGAACAGAGACAATAAGATGGGAAGGCGGTCCTATCTCCCCTCAAAGGGAACGATTGAAAGTCACGCTCATTTGGTATCCTCGATATTGTCATTTCCGCAGCATAATACAATAACTTCTCAGAGCACTGCCATTCTTTCCTTCATTGCAGTAGAGTTTGGAGTTGATGTGTTTAAAAATGCCGTTCATTGCCCGCTCAATGTGTGGGATATGATACAGAGGTGGTAGGCAGTGATTTTCAATACAAAACGAAGGTATGTCGCATCTCTGTACGAGATCGATCGTGCAAAAGGTCCGATTCCTCAGACGTTTTCTGAGAGAGGCCATCTTGCTTCAGATTCTGGGCTTTGTTTCTGCTGCTTTGTTGTTCAACGCAAATACCATCATGCGTATGGATCACCTGTGGAGATAGCAACACTATCAATCTCGGACCATGATCATAAGCAAGAGACTATTGAAGTGTCATTCTTGCAGCACTATCCTGCTACAGCTATGTTTTCAATTACCAAAGGTTGAACGTTGAAGTATTGAGCGAAGATCCTATTCTCATTATCTTCCGGAATTTCGCCTCTGAGAAATACGTCGCGGATTTCTTGTCGGATGTCAGAAAAAGGGAATTTGAAAAGCAGGTGAGTACGCAAATATGTGACAAGTGTTGTTAGAAAAAGCATTTGAGATTATATTTGACGTCTGCTCAGCAGTAGGTGCTCCCACGTGGGTGTATAAGGGTGCATCTAGGGGTAAGGCAAGAAACAGTGGTATAGCATGCACACTGGGGAAAAAGTCACGATTCTGTTGGGTTTGGTGTAACACAAAGATGTCGGAAGTAATCCAGAACTGCATATTTGTGCGATCTTCTGAGGCAAACCTTATGTAAGGTCAAAACCCAGAAAGCAAATACACCAACAAAATTCTTGGCCATCTCCATTTTCATTTTTGATGGCACCCAAATGTGCGACTCTTTTTCCAGATGGTGATCGATAACGAGAAAAACGAACCAGGACGTGTCAAAGAGATCACTGGCAGGATAGCTAATGGTACATGGTTTTTATACGAAGAGACTAGTGGAGTCGGCAAAATGTTCAGACGAGTGAAAGCAATGCTGCCTTCTATAAATTTTAAGTCTTGCGAGCAGTGGCAGGTAGGAATTTGCATTGAAATTCATCCGTGCAAAGAACCTTTAGATAGAAAAATATCACATGAGCAAGATTATTGATAGTTCAGGTTCTTTCGTATCATCCCGGTGGTCATTACGCACCACACTTTGATTACCTCAATTACACCTCTTCGAAACAGTGGGATCTGTGGATGAATCGATATGGGAATAGAATGGCAACTTTCCTTCTTATGCTACAGCCAGCAACAAAAGGAGGAGGTGGGTGAGTAAGCAACTTCCTGGATGGACGGTGTGTCGCATGTGGTAGAGATCTATGAGAGGGAGGGGTAGAGGTGTTGTTCATTTTTGCGAAGCTCTTCTAGATTTCTTCCAGAAGAGTTTCGCAAAAATGTCCAGCTAGTCAAGGGGAACTCGCCCGCAGAAGGGTCCCAAGTCTTTTTAAGCAGGAGATTCGACTAATTTTTGAGTCATTTTCGAACATGAGCTTATGAATTATAAGAACATAATAAAACAAAAGTTGCAAGTATGCAAAATTTTTTCATTCATGGGATCCAGGAGCCTACACTTTACTCTTTCTTTGACTCTCCCAGAGGCGCGCAGCAAAAATGAGCTACGTTGTTGTGCCCTCCTTAAAAACCTCCACAGCATGCAACAAGCTGTTTTTGAAATGGGCTCTACGACCCAAAAAGTCTGTCTTGTTACGACAACGTTTGAGTGAACGCGCAAAAGCCATTTCTTCAGCAAGGTGGCGAGCAATCCAGTCTCGGAAGATGTTCTGTTTTGCAGCCGAAAGGGCGAGGTACAACAAGTTATGCTACGCTTTTAATTCCTCCCCACGTTTGCAGTCTCCACCTTCATTATTTGGTCGCGCCATCGTTATGTAGTGATAGCGCCTTCAGCATGAGTAATCTCTCTCTCTCCCCCTACATTTTCGTCTGTTTTAATTCCCGCATATTCCTGTAACTTCAGAAGCAATAGTTTCCTGAGTGGAGCGTTTCTGAAGGTTTTTCGGCTTTTTATCTGCTACCTTAGCTGTTGAGCACCACGACATTTGCATTCGAACCAAACTTACTCCAAAGTGCTATCGCCCTCTGCCTTCATGACGACCGCTCGCCAACTTGTCAAAGAAAGTGATTCTGCAGTCCGTCAATCAAGAACTGAGCCTTCTTATAATGCTGTCAGCAAAAATAATTGCAGGAACTGTTTTCCCGCATTTACGAACAACAGTGATGGCTTCACGTGGGGATGCGATTTTCTGGGCTAACATGAATGCGACCGGAGAAAAGGTAGAGTAGTTTAGAGACAGCAAGAATATTTTTAGTAGCGTGTATCAGATTAACAATACGTCGACATCGCACATTTGCGAGCACCTTGGACAAAATTTTTAAAACACTGCCAATACTGGCCTTACAACAGGGTCCAGATTCAAAGAAGAACAGAGTGTTTTACAATGTCTCTATGTGCAGCAGCTGAAATGAAAATTCTGTCATCAAGCGTATTCGATGTCTGATCACTTTCTCTTTTTCTGAAAAGATTGTTTTGGAGAGGATCCGCCAAAACTGCTTGCGAACTGGCAACTTAGTTAAGTGTCAGTAGGACGTCTGTGGATCAAGATTGAAGCAATTATCAAAAATTAATAAAAACAAAAAATAATAAATATTATTATATTAATAATAAATATTAATAAAAAATAGTGTATAAATGCTTCATTCACTGGTTGATGCTGCCCGAGATAAAAATCAAGGATGATTAGCGCGTTCTGTCCTCATAGCCTAATCAGGGCATCAAAAAATTAGATAGTTTTTTATGACCTCCATCACCGTGATTACATAAAACTGGTGCAGAAGACGGTGGGAAAGCTAACGTGAACCCCTAGGGAGGGTGCACTTGGTCGATGACATAGTTGACGACAAGGTGCGATAGTGATTGGTATCTCGCAAGAATTCTGAAGTGCTCTGGAGCCTTCTGTTGAAAACATATGCACAGGCTGACCTACATATTGCCTGCATACACCACGTGATGAGGGGAGTCCATCCACTGCCTCCTAGTTTAGCTTCGGGAGCTCAAATAGGGAGCTACGATTTGGAGAGCCATGGTCCTAGTTGCGGTAGATGATGAAGCGTTTTCTCAAGCTGATACAAGAACCTGCGAGAAATAGACCGCGTCGAAGCGGTCCCTAAAGAGAAAACAATACAAGATCTTCTCAGCCTACAGCGACGCGCGTTCCCGCTCCGCCACGGAGACTTAGGAAATGAGAAAAACACCACAATTTTGGGTGGCACTTTTTGACTCACTCCTATATTGCTGATCCCGTAACAGCAGACTAACGCCTCTTTTTTTTCGCGGTCCAATCATTTGCAGGAGAAGCAGCTCGACAACGGGGTAATTCTGAACACCCTGATGCATTTCCTTGAATCAAATCAAAGGAGTGCCACAGGACTAGCATTCACAAACTACCTCATAAACAGCAACATGTTCCAGATAAGATATGTGCGATGTGAGCTGATCTTTGAAGGTACTGAGCAGGGCGTTACAGCGGGCGCCAGTAACATTTCCATTCGTCCCTGCAACGTGCAAGAGTTGCCCAATGGACTCTCTCTGCTCGAGGGACACGATGAACTTCATACCATTCGTTCAGAGCTTTCACGAAGAAGTCTGACCATCGCGTAGGCGTCGTCCAGGCGTTCGCTTGACATCCCGTGGAATCCAGTCGGTGATCGCTCTGGTCCAGCGGTCGTCCTCGAAACGCATGACGTGCCCGGCCCACCTGATCTTCGAAACCTTGGCAAAATGCGGCGGCGTCTCTGATCTTCGATCGTCGGCGGAGTGCGGAGCTCCGGATTCCCTCTCTCACTTGCGTGTAGCGGGAAACTCCGAGCATCGCCCTTTCGATGGCGCGTTGAACGACTATACCGCATGCTCATCCTGCTTTCGTAGAGTAGAGGTCTCTCAGAAGTGATTTAGAGCAGAAGGCCGCGGAAACGTAGAGGTGGCCGCGAAGCCTGTTGTTCTTCGTCTTCTTCGCTACTCCTCGATGGTCTTGAAAGAACCCGATCCGCTCTCTTCCTCCTGCTCAGCTCTGGTGCTAAGTCGTTCATCATATTGATTTCCGACCCAGGTACACATAGCTAGAGCATTCAGAGATGGTCGTTCCGTTGAGCGTGAATGGGGCATCAGAAACCAATCCGTTTCTCATGAACATCGTCTTCGTTAGATTCAGCCGTAGACCGATTTTTCCACACGCGCAGTCGAAATCAGCCAGCATTCGTTCCGCTTGCTCGATGTTTAGTGTTATGTTAATGTCAAAACGATGTCGTCAGCGAAGCCGAGATGATTGAAGATCGACGGTTGCTAACCATCCTTATATGCAGTATGCTATGTCCGCGTGTGTGTCTATCTGTCTGTCACGAAATTGCATAGCGCCGGTCCCAGCAGCAGTGAGACATCGGTTCCAGGAAGTGATGTAGGGGAGGTGACAGGAACACTATTGGTGGGTGACAGGAAGTGATATCAGTTGATAAGGTTTGATAAGAGGCGTTAGAAGGGGAGGTCGCCATATTCATAACGTGGGTGACAGCATCAGCTAATCATGTTGACTCCAAGATATTATATAGGGAATGGCACATGAACATCGGTATCCATATCGATATAGGGCGTGAGATGGGGACATCAGCGGTAGGTGAGAAAAAGGGATGTGTAGAGTAAAAGGATGTGTGGCTCTTGATTCTAAGATATGATATAGGATATGGGCCAAAAACATTGGTGGCGGGTGACAAGAACTGTAAGCTGCTGATAAGATTCGATAAGGGGCGTTAGAATAGTGAGGTCATCGTATTCACAGCGCAGGTCACAGCATCAGCGAGGCGTACGCCAGCAAGTGATATAGAGGGTAATATTGGGACATCAACCGTGGTGCTGAAAGGCGATAACTACTCATAGGTGCTGATAAAGGAAGTTGGGTCGACGCAGCTGTTTAAGATGGTTCACGCTACCGAATCATAGAGCTTTAGTGATGAGGACGTCGATGACGGGTGACAGGTAATCTTACCAATTGATAAAGACGGATAAGATGCCATCCGCGCTACATTTAAATCACTTTTAGCCACTAGTGCGTAACAAAGTATGTGCTACCTCAATTTTGTTGTCCTGCAAAACTGCCTTTGAATTTTGCGATATGAAACCTTTACTGTTGAATTCCTCATAGGCGAAAACATAGGAATACACTAATTCTAAACACTTTGTGGACTACTGAACAATTAATTATTGTTTTGAAAAAGTTTCTTAATAACAAAAGTATGTGGACACTTAACAAAAAACAAATGTATCGTGGAAAATAGAAGTTGGTTCTTCCTCCAGTGTTCACTATTACTTCGAACATTCTGTCCGGCATGCTGTGGACTAGATTTGTCATGGTGCCTTCGCCGATTTCCTCCCATGTAGCAATTATTGCCTCCTTCAAGTCTGCGCACCGCTGTGTAACTGCCCACCTGTTCATGTAGATTCGCCGAACATGATTCCGCACTTCGCGCAGAGGATTTGGTTGGGTTGCAGTCAGGAGAACACGCCGGCCAATCAATCACTTTGATACCAGTTGCGTTGGAGCCATTTTCTAGTAGATTTAAAACATGCACGGCGGCGTTGTCCTGGCTGCATCACATGTGTCCTGCGTGGTGGCCCGCTCAGAAAAGGAAAGAGGTTAGACTCAAGCACTCCTTGGTACTCCTCACTGTTCATACAACACGATGGGAAGGCAAGCTCCAAGTTTCCTCTGCTTCCAAAACCACCCCGTACCATCAAAGAGGCGCCTCCGAAACTTCGTCTCGAGAACACCAACCGGATCGCTACAAAGGTATTTCCAGTAATGCTGATATCCATCTGGACCGTCGAGATTGACTTTTTCTTATCAGTGAAGATAGCCTAAAAAGGAAATGCGCATAAGATGTGGCGTTACTGATTTTACAAATATCTCAAGAAACTACACCTTGTCCCACGACGTCGCCATTTTTGCACGCGCAAAGTTCAGTCCTTGCCAGCTGTGGGCCTGGCAGTTAGACAAGGCGAGCTCTCTTCATGGTCTCTGAGTGATGTGCTCATTTGATCGAATAGAGCCCCATATTGTCATTTTTGAGACCGGTAGATTCATCGCGGCATGGATCTGTCCCGACCAGAGAAAGGGGGGAGTTTGAGGTAATCTTCTGATGTCTTTCGCGGACAAAGATCGTGGGTGCCTCGAAACAGGTACTGAGTGGTAGCCATCAGGATTCTG